GGGGGGGGGACGGCGGCTGGGAGGGGGCCCTGTCAGCGGGGCCGGCCTATGGTGGTTGCAGACTAACCGGCTGTCTTCTCTTGCAGTGGTTGATATCCCAGCAAGTATCCTTTTCCTGGCCGCCTGGGCGGGGAGCGTCGCTGCCCGGCCACCTCGCTCCTGCTGTGAGGGCTCGGATAACAGAACACCTCCTCAGAGAGAGAGCCTGGCCCTGGGACTGGGGGTTTAGCTGATAGTTTTAATCTACTTCCATGGCTGGGAACCACTTTCCTAACATGTATATTGTGTTAAGGGTTTTTGGACATCGGGCTGTTGCTGTTTCCCAGACAGTGTTTAACATTTACTTAACTCTAGTGCTGCTAGATTCCTCAGTTTGAAGATGTTAAGTTTGAGGCAGCCAGCCTTCTGTCTGAACTGTATTGTCAGGAGGTGAGTGCGCTGAGACTGCTTCAGAAATTGTTGGGTGTCTTGGGGCTGCTGCGTTTGAGTGTCTTTGGTCTTGGAGTAGTATATCGCTGTTACTAATAAGATTTATGAAACTTTTAGAGGCCAGCTGTGATGTGGAAGTAGAGTGCTAAAGCGTAAGCTGGAAGGACTTTTGGTCTTTCTTACCGTGAAAGTTGCTGCTGGAATTGCAACGCAGGTCTTGAACAGCAGAGGAAGTTTACTTGGCCAAAGTATTTCTTTAGCCCTCATTTAGACAAAGACAGGCTAATTTGAGGGGAGGGAGGAAAGTAGGTGGTTTTCCTCAGGCTTTTGTTGTGTTCCTAGGCTATTTTTATTCTTTTTTCTCTGGAAAAGCCTTAACTAGTCTTTGCTTTCTCTGGGGCAAATGTTTGCTTTTTCTCTCATGTGCAGGAAAAAAGTGCATATTAGAATAGCAGCCAAAGGAGTTAAATAACTGATAATTTTGAGCAGCCTTTCCGTGTCAGGTGTAGATGTGTGGGCCCTGATGTGTTAAATAGTTGGCTTTACTTTTCATGTGTTAAGGTTCCTGACTTGTGAGACTTTAACGAGGGATCAACACAGAATCCAACTTGTTTAAAAGTTGCTATTGTTAGGGATGAAGTTAGCAGCCTGTTTTTTATGTTGACTATGGTGCATGTTTCTGTTTCAGAATTCAGTGGATACAGCAAAACCTCTGTTACGCAAAGCCATTCAGATTTCACAGCAGACCCCGTACTGGCACTGTAGATTGCTTTTTCAACTTGCAGTAAGTGATTTGTTTTGATGACTGTGTTATACTGTAGCCCTGTGATTGGGAAAACAGCTAGAAAATATCTGTCTTCCTCTTAAAAAGAGCTTGGATGTCTTTTTTTTTTTCTTTCCCTAATCATTGCTATTAAGAGATGAAGAAAAGTTCATGCTATAAAGTAATGATGCACTGGTAGGCTACAGATTGGATCAAGGCCCACTTGAAGGCAGCAAGGATCATTCTGTGGGCTCTAGTAACACTCAACTTTAAGAGACAGAGCAAAATAAAATCCACCTTAGGGCTTGCAGGAAGAGCAAATCTTCTTCTAAAGCCTGCTGGAATTGGAGTTTGCCAACCTGGATTGTTGTTTGATTGTTTTCAACCTAATTAGCACCCGGAGCAGAACTGGGATGGGGAGAGAAGCTGGTGCAAAGGCCTCCAAGCAGCATTGCTCTTCCTGCTCTGTAATATGCTCCAAGCATGGCTTCAGCTGCACAGGTCGGACCATCTAGGAATAAACTGGCACATGGTGGAATTTGCAGTGTTTTAACAGTTGTCGCAGTCTTTACTTCAGCTGGGAAACTAATCTTAAAAGTGCTGATTTTCCTGAGTGTCCAGCACGTTAGGTGGGGACCATATCCGGAACATTAACTGATCAGTGGGACGAGCAGATTAGTGCTGAAGAACTCCCCGTTTGTCCAGGTTGTGCCTCTTCCCCGTTCCTAAAGAGGCTCGAGGTGTTTAATGCAGGAGTTGAGGGAGTTAATTGCTCCTAAAGATACTCTGCAGCAGAGAGGCAGTTAGGAAGCAATTTTATCTTTGAAGACTGGCTTAATAGTCACCTGTACTTGTCTTTTTCCCCTTCCTGATGAGCTTAAACAAGCAGACCAACTTTGTTGAGGAGGAGTTGCCGGGCTCCTTTGTGTAGTTTAGGAACAGTGAGCTGTGGAGAGCCTGCCTTTCATATCGATTAAAGGACAAATGTTTACTTTGCAATGAGTTAATGCCTGAGTACTCAGAAGAAGCTTAAGCATTTTTCTCAGTGCCTCCCTCTGAATAGGATCTTTCCTCAAAGCTTGATGTTCTTTGCTGATTTCCTTTCTGTGTGGTGTTTCCTTTCTGGCTTTTGCTTGACCACAGAGGCCCATGTGTCTCATGGCCTTGATGCCTGTTCTACCACCCTGGGGCTTTCTACCTGACTTTGGAGAACTCAAAAAATCACAGGAGGGAGGGAGCGGTGCTCTGGCAGCTGCATCATCCTCTTCCCCATCCCCTGAAACACTCCTTGCAAACTCTCTGCTCTCCCAGCTGGAAAACACTCTGTTGCTCCAGTTACTCCAGGTCCACAATTATATTGGAGCTGTTGGGATCTGATCTGCACGTGATCTTAACAAATTATAACAGCTTTGCGTGGTATGAAACTGGGCTGAGACATTTTCTTTGAAATGTTACAGACATTTTGCTTTTTTTGGAGAATGCCAGGTGTTCCTGGAAAATGTGTCTAAAATCAGATGATACATTTAACAAGTACCAGTTTAGAACTCCTCACGTGTAAAGCACAGGAGTAATTACATTTTTTTTAAAAAATGCTAAGTTCACACAGAAAATGCCTTTTTTTCATTTCAGCAACTACATACACTTGAAAAAGACTTAGTATCTGCATGTGACCTTCTCGGAGTTGGAGCAGAATATGCTCGGGTGGTGGGATCAGAGTATACCAGGTGAGTTCCCTGGACTTGTTTTTTCTTCCCACAGTAAATATTTTCATTTCCTTTCCTTTTTCTTTAGAGATACTCTGGTTTTATTTAGAGATGTGATTGCTATATGGGTTTTAAAGGCAAACCAATATATCTGAAAGTTTCTCCAGCTCTTTCTTTTTAAAATGAGTAATGTCCAGTAAGACTGGAGAGTCTTTTTCTCCAACTGAATTTTGTTTATTGTCTTTATCAGCAAAAGTTTTCCCAGTAGCCTGGTTTGACTTTAGTAACTCCTGTCCAAAGCTTGGACACAAACCCGAGAGGCTGGGATTTTGGTTCCTGGGGCTGACTGAACTGTTCCATCTAGCTTTTAAATGTACTTTCTGGGACGGGTTCTTTAATACTCTTTTCTCTGTTGTTGTTGAGGGGGGAGAATGGCAGATATTTTTTTTTATTCTTCAGGGGTTTTATATACAGTTGTGGTTTGTGTAACTTCTTGAGTATGACATTGTTTTGTTTCATTTCAGAGCACTGTTTCTGCTAAGCAAGGGGATGGTAAGTAGGATGTACTTTTTAAATAAACTATTTACTTGTTTAACTGGTATAATGCAAGTTACAGAGCAATAGAATGTAACTTGCCTGGACATAGGCTGTTTGTTTCAAGGTATCTTGCATGCTTACCTGTGCTTTATATATTGTGTTTTGTTCATGTGAGCAAGCACAGTATTAAAATATATCTGGGATAAGCCTTAAATCTGCAGGATACCTGTGAATTTGTTTGGCTTTTAATTTGTTAATTATGACAAATAGTTTTCTGGAAGGAAAAAGGATAACTTCAAATAGTCACTGGAGCCCTTGTAATTAGGGATGAAAAGTCTAGTTGAGTGAAAAGTGCAATAAAGATGCCTTTGAGTCTTGTTTTTGTTTTAAACAGATCAATGTACTTGGGGCTCTCCTGTGGTTCTCCAAGTCTTTAAACCATTTAGCGCAAAAATAATTATTTTTTCTTTTATAGCTCCTTCTAATGGAACGGAAACTGCAGGAGGTGCACCCTCTCCTTACTCTTTGCGGGCAGATAGTGGAAAACTGGCAAGGAAACCCCATCCAGAAAGAGTCGTTACGTGTCTTCTTCTTAGTGCTGCAGGTCACACACTACCTGGATGCTGGGCAGGTATGTGTGGGTTGTGCTGCTTAGAGTCCCCCCCACCTGGGGATGGGGAGGAGGAGTACTGCCTCAAAGGGAGCTAATTATTACACTGAGGTGATTTGGGGGGATTTTTCTTTTTGGCTGCACTGTGCTTTTTGTCAATGCAACCTGATTTCTATAGACTTTAATACCAAATGAAACGAGGAGTGAAGAAATGACATTCATTTCTTCTTCCCCGAGGAAAGGTTTGCCTGTGATATGTTTATAACCGTGGTGGCCACTCTGGCTTTTATATAATTTTGGTGGAGATAAGAGGCTTTGAGTATAATTTTGGAAAACATTTTGAGTGTCTGCTGGCTGCGTACACAAATATGAAGGGCTGATTGTTGTTAATCCTGGAACGAGCCTAAAGTAGTCACTGTTCTGTCGTGCTAGCGTTGTGATTTATGCACGAACTAATTTCCTGAATGTGGGGATTATTTATTGCCAGGCAAGTTTTCCCAACCAAGTAAATGTTCAGGCATCTGGGCTGCAGCAGCTATGTCTGATTTGAATCATCTTTTGCAGGTGAAAAGTGTGAAGCCATGCCTGAAACAGCTTCAGCAGTGCATCCAGACCATATCCACGCTGCACGATGATGAAATTCTGCCCAGCAACCCCGCTGATCTCTTTCACTGGCTGCCCAAGGAACACATGTGTGTGCTTGTCTACTTGGTGAGAAGCTCTTTTTTTTTTTTTTTTTTTTAATGTATATTGCTAATTAATGAGGAATTGGTTAAAAATTGCTTGGAGCCAGCAGCGATAGATTCTGCAGACCATATGCTGCTTTACGTTACACTGACAGTTTAATTCTGCCACAGCATCTGTGAGGCTCTTGCTTTCAGTGATGTCGGTGTTTGAAGAGACTGTGTGAGGAGTCTGGAAAATGGAATATAACTTTATTAATATCCAAGCCAAATAGAATCAGGTTAACTCGTACGAAGTAGAACTACGTTGGCTTATTTTTACCAACACAGCGACAGTCGTGACTTCAGATTCCTGAAACTAGTTGCCCCGTTTCTTGAATATGATTATGCTCCTGACTGATGTCAAAAATTAGTTTGAAAAGCTGGTAGCTGAGGAGTTGTGAAAACACCCAGACCTTTCTTCTTTGCAAAGATAATGTTTTGTAATCGTTCCCATCTTTTCCGGCAGGTGACAGTGATGCATTCCATGCAAGCAGGATACCTGGAGAAGGCTCAGAAGTACACAGACAAAGCACTCATGCAGCTAGAGAAGCTAAAAAGTAAGGATAAGGATTATAATTTAGCTGATGCCACAAGATTCCATTACTTGTTGCTAATTTAAATTAAAACCAAACCACAGCATCCTCCTTTAGCTCACTACGACAGCCTGCTGTCGGTCTGCTTCCACTGCAGCTAAGAACTTTGTTTTAAAATTGGATAGTTACTTTGAATACAGAAATCAAGTTTTGGGGGTTTTCATTGCAACTCTAGTAAATGGGGCTGTAGATACCTGCATTTTCATGCTGCCTTTCTGATTGTCTGTGTATTTGGTTATCCAGGTTTTTGATTCTCCCAAATGAGCGTGTGTTCCCAAGGAGTTTTTCATTAACTGGTGCTCAGACTCTCACTCCTGACAGTTCAGGCATTGTGGTTTTTGTGTGGGTTTTTCGGTTGGTTTTTTTTTTTCTTTGCTTTGTTTTATTTTAAACCTGTGGCATACCGAAGAGGAGCTGGGCAGTATGCTGACTCTTCTGACACCAGGTGGTCCTGCCAAAGACATCACTAGAGATTTTCACAAAGGAGTCTTTGTGCTGAGGTCTCACAGAACCCCCTGCAGTTGAGGAAGCTGGCTGGGTGAGGGGGAGGCTGTGTGGATGGGATGTTCATATTGTCTTAACTTCACTTACTGAGTTACTTTTGTTCCCTTTTCAGTGTTGGACTGCAGTCCTATCTTGTCATCATTCCAAGTTATTTTGTTGGAACACATTATCATGTGTCGGCTTGTCACAGGGCACAAAGCCACAGCACTGCAGGAGGTAAAAATGGGCTTTGATCATTTCCCTAGTTGTGAATGTGTGCAGTGATAGCTTTTTAAAACATGGCAATTTCAGCTTTGAGGAAGATACTTGGGCTCAGATGGGGATTCCAGCAGTGCTAAACTACTAACAGATATAGTCAGGCCTAACAGTGCTCAGGATAGCACAACTCTGAAGCTGTGGGATTAGCTTTTTCTTAGTATTTAAGAAGCTTGGAGTTCATGGAGTCAACAATAATTGATCCGTGGCTCCATCTGACACCTTCCTGATCGTATGTGGCAGTCTGACTCTGTCTCTTCCCTTTCCCTCAGATTCATGACAGAGTGGATCTTAACTCTGCCTCTTAGTGTCCCTGTCTTGTCCAAGGATTTCTCAGTTTTAAGGTTTCCTGCCTTTCTGTCCATTCCTCTTCTTACGTAGTTTGGGGGGAAGGAAGAGAGGGACGGTGTTATTTAATGCAAGAAAGAACTGAGCTTTTTTTCCATTCTCACAGTCATTTTTAAATCCTGTTCATCAATCCCTTATTTATAGGACATGCTGCTGCATCATCTCAACCTCTGCTGTCAGCCTTCTCATGAATGTACTCGGGGGCTGGGGGGAAATTTAGCTTGCTAAAAGAATAGTCATCGGTTCTGGCTTATAAAACTCATCACAAGCACATACCCTGTGGAAGATTTTGATCCCAGTTTCTCCGTTGCATGCCAATTCAATCTCTGAGCGTGTCAGAAGAGCTCTGACTTAGGTTTGCAGGTGGTGCCACCATATGGTGGAGCTGCTGCAAAGCAAATAATTCAAAACCAGTTTGAGTGTGCGTCTGTGTGGGAGGAGTGTGTGTGGAGCTGTGTGTACCTTGGCTGGAGGCAAAGCTGGCCTCTGCTGTTACCTGGGAGGATGACTTGGGGTTCTTGAAGCAATCGCTGCAACTGATGGAATGACGTGGATGATGCAAGTAGGTGGATTTAAAGAAATGGAGAAAAAGTATCTTAAAATACTATTTTTTTTTTTCTAACAGATTTCACAAGTCTGTCAGCTCTGCCAGCAGTCTCCCAGACTGTTTTCTAATCACGCTGCCCAGCTGCACACTCTATTAGTAAGTGCCTGTGATTACCAGTAAACTTTTGACTCTGGAAGACCATACCCAAGACTTGTACTCGTCACCAGTAACTAATGAGGCCGTAGAGAGGCAGACAGTGATTTCCTGCTGAGTAACGGGGCTGCGTTACTGACTGCCAGCCCTGCTCTGGTTGGGCTGGATCATCTTCAAGGTCTTCTCCAACCTAGATGATTCTGTGATCCTGTGACTCATACCCAAGCCTGTCAGAGGCTTAAGTCTTTTTTTTTTAAATAAATGATGTGTAACGTGATAGTTGGTGTGCAAGGTAAATACAGGAGATTTGTGCTGTTTGTGTGTGAGACAGTGTGTTGTGGGAACTGTGTAAGGGGAAGAATTTATGTAGCATTGCTGCTTGAATATTAAACTAAGGGTTTAATATTTTTTTAGATAAATGGGGTGTTTTTTACAGAAGCATGTTATTTTGAAGAACTTTGTGTAGAAATTGCTTTTTTTTTCCCAGAGCCAAGCAAAACTAAGACATGCTGGCTATCTTTTTTCCTGCTGATATCCTGGATTTCTTTGGGTTTGTGCTGTCCTTTCCTCTTTGTATTCTTGACTTGCTATAATTATATTATGTATTACCTTAGAAATATTGTGTCTTCTGCAGGGGCTCTACTGCATCTCTGTTAATTGCATGGACAATGCAGAAGCACAATTTACTACAGCACTGAGGGTAAGATTTTCTTCCCAAACTATTTACTATGGATGTTCAATGTGGAAATGGGCGCATTGCAGTTGTTGTGTGTGTCACCAAACAGTTGAGGTTGGAAGGGAAATCTGGAGATTGTCTGTATTAGTTGCACTAGTTCATTTGGGTTTTTTTTTCTACCCTGAGCACAGCTCAGGTCAGGAGGATTTATTAACAGCAAAATATTGGACACCAAATCTGTGATTTAGATGGGCTGAGCAAATTCTGGGTTAGATGCTGAAATATTTGACTCTGCTGTTGGTATCTTGTTTATTTTAGCTCACTACACATCAAGAACTGTGGGCATTTATTGTGACAAACTTAGCCAGTGTGTACATCAGGGAAGGCAACCGGCATCAAGAGGTAAGTTGGTTTCTGACCTTCTAAAAGACAGAACTTTCTTGGAGGGAAGAGTACTGTGCTTGGATTATATTTTTTTTTCTGAGCGTTTTCACAAAGTGGTGCCTTGTCTGGCAGCCAGGCAAACTCCTTCATCAGGGTAATGTCAATTAATGGTAGAGAAGGAGTGATATCAGCTGGCCTTGCTGCAAACCACTGAAGCAGAGTGTTCTGGATGCAGCACAGGATTCTCTGCAGCGCTGGGAGGGCAAGTTCCCAACGTGTGGTGTGTGGTTAACTCTGTCATCTTGACTCATTCAACCTGTGCGCTTCAGTTTCCATCTGTTCAGGGCTTTTATTAGATGACACAAAACCTAGCAAGGTTTAACTAAACAGCCAGAAATAGGTATGTGCATGTGTGTGTGTGTGTGTTCGTTTCGCTTCAGCCCTGTGCCTGAAGCCACGCTAATGCAAAAATTCAGCTGTTGCACTCTCTGATGTCAGATCCCTCAGCAGTAACTTTTCAGAGATGCTTTCAGGTTTCTTCTGAAGAGGCTGTAAATTAATTTTTTCACCAAGCACACAAGACTTTGCTAAAAAACTTAGATAGCAAAAATTATAATCACTTAAAAAGCTGACTCTTTTTTTTTTTTTTGCCTGGTTGATTTCTAGTCTAGATTAAATAGCAAAACTGATACAGCACTCACTTGGGTTTTAAACTGCTCAGATACAACAGCTACAAGTTTTCTGAGGAAATACTGACATTGTGCAGGAAGTTCTGTGAAGTCTGAGAAAGCGTATTCTGTACAAAAGTTGATGTTAGGATCGGAATGGGCATGAAAACTCAATGTTGGAATGTTTGTGTGATGCCCTAACCCGTACAAGTAAACTTGAGTGTGTTTGTGGTGACTTGCACCGTTTGGATTTAACGTGCACTTCCTACAAAAACACGTGCTGTGGGTACTGTGAGCCTGTATGTGAGAAACACTGATTATTTTTCTTTTCCTCTCCTACTTTATAGCTTTACAGCTTATTGGAAAGGATAAATCCAGACCATAATTTTCCTGTGAGGTGAGAATTCCAGAAACTATCTACATGCTGATGTTGCATTGGTGACGGTAATACTGGATTTGTAGCAGGCTTTTTTAAAAAGAAAACAAAATCATGAACTTCTTTTCAAGGCAGAAGTTCTGACCACGCATTAAATATAATGTTTTTGTTTGGAGATTTGATTATTAGGCAAATTCCTCGAAATCTGTCTGTAATGCATGTAATGGCTGCACAGTGCCGAGGTTTCACTGTGTTGCTTTGTCCGTAGCTCTCACTGTCTTCGAGCAGCAGCTTTCTATATCCGAGGTCTGTTCTCCTTCTTTCAAGGAAGATACAACGAGGCAAAGTGAGTATAAATCAGCACCACTTGGAAGGCTGAGGGGGGGGGGGGGA